GTAACCTTGGCAGTTATGATCTCATCATTACATTGCAAGTATCAAATGAGTTCATACATGTGAAGTACTCAGCATAGTTCCTGGACATGGGATGTTAGGTATCACTCTCACCCTTTGTTCATTTGTGCAACACGTTTTTAGTGAACAGCTACTGTATGCCAAGCCCTGGTCTGGGTTCCGGGGCGGAGGCGGGGGGCGGGAAGCAGTGAAGAAAATAGACTAAACCCCTGCCCTTTTGGAGCTTATATTTTAATGCTGTTATAGTAGACATCAGGGTTAACCTTACCATGAAAAGAATGGAGCTTGAGCCATAAGCTCCTCAATTGTACAGGTCCTTCCACAGGCTCAAGGAGGGTCCCTAACCAATGTCTTTGATTTCTCACCTGATTTTGTATTCATACTTGTGTATACTCTTTCTTAAGTGGGCCCTCAAAACTGCAAAAGCTTCTGACCCCACAAAGCCTGGGTCTGCCTTCAAGATCATTATTATTTAGGTAACAATAGCATATTATTATTATTTTATTTTTATTTTTTTGGAAAATGAGGCAATGCAGTAGGTGACTTCCAAGGTGTTATATTATTACCCTGAATCTTTGTGCTTTTAAGTATCTCAAAGAAGGTGGACTCGCAGCCTGGGGAGAGAGCCTTATGTATACAAATCAGGGTTACTGCATCTCCTCCTTTGTCACCTCCCACGTCCCTGTTGGCACATTGCACCATCTAGTTAATAGCCTGAAATCTCTTCTGGAAAGAAAATTGCTTGCAATAAAGAGTTGTCTCAAGGCTGTGGACTGGGCTAGGATTCTTTTAGTAGGAAGGGGGTTCTGAGACCATGGACCCCCAAACCCTCAATTTATAGATACAAAGGGAACCTGGCTGGGTGGGTGCTCAGATCTAGGGCGTGAACTTCCTTTCTATCCTTACAGCAGCCTGGACCCAGCATCCGGACTGGGACAACCCACATTTGTCAAAATGTCATGGAGTGTGTGTTCAGGTATTTTCTCACAGTGCACCTTCTGCTCAGGCACCTGCAACCCACATGCAAATATAATTTCCAACCTGCCCGATGGAGTGGCCTGTTTGGATGGCAAATAAGACTTTGCTCCTTCTGAGTGCCTCTGTACACCTCACCTCACCCCACGCAGCTGACTTGGGAAAACAAACGTATTTGTTGATAGGCACAGCCATTAGAGACGCATGCAGAACATTTACTTGACAGGGTTCTAACTAAGTCCCTCTAGGAAAAAATAAAATAAAATAAACTTTTGGTTTTTGGATTGGAAATATCTAAGCAAGTAGGTTTTTTAAATAGTTTGACATTTTAACCTTAGCAAGGTGTGGTCTCATATCAGTATCTTGTGCTGTTTTTTGCCATTCTGAAAAAAAAAAAAGTATAAAATAGAATTGCCTGTCATATAGATCTTTGGGAGGAATTACATGCAAAATTAATTTACTCCTTAAGCCAGACAAGCATATATAATGATCTGCTGTAGCTAGGATTGCAGTTGTTTTTTTGTTGTTGTTGTTGTTTTTTAAGTGCTGGGGATAGCAATTGTGTGCAAAAAGAAAGATTTGGATGAGGGCTTTCAAATAATTACTCTATTAGAGCTGGTTTATTAACTTTTGATATTAAATGAATATATTTATGGAATACTTATTCTAAGAACAAATTATCTTTAACCTTCTCCATGTATCCAAAATGCTCACACAACTTTCAAAAATTACACTGGGCAACCTTTTAAAAATGCCTTTCAGCCCTGGCCAGTGTGGCTCAGCTGGTTGGAACATTGTCCCATACACCAAAAGGTGGTGGGTTGGATTCCCAGTCAAGGCACATGCCCAGGTTGTGGGTTAAGTCCCCAGTTGGGGTGAATGCGGGAGATAGCCAATTGAGTTTCTCTCTCACATAGATGTTTCTCTTTCTCTTAAAAAAAAAATAAAATTAAAAATCAATTTAAAAATGACTTTCATACAATGGCTGTTTAAATAAACACCCTTCACAAGTTAAATAACTTAATTGCTCATGATTTTTAAAAGAATAGCTTTAAAGTACGAGGGGATCTGAAATGGATGGTAATTTTGATTTCAGTTGTTTTGTTTCCCCAGCCAGTTCCTTCCTTTTTGTTACCATCACACATTGTGTAAACTCCCATCAGAACCAGGGACTGTCTGAATTTACACGTCATCTCTGGGTATCATATTAATAGCATCTTCTGTGACCCTCAAAATTGTCCCACCTTCAGAATAAATTACCTGGTCGCCCTAATAGTGCAGGCCACACCGGGTTCTGGTGTCTCCCTGTGGAGACTCTGAGTTCCTTGGGGAGGGGAGCCTGTCTTTGTTCTTTTTACCCTTTTGTCCTCAGTGCCTAGAACAGGATCTGACACACGAGAGCTACTCAGGACGTGTTTACTGAAGATTAACAGCCAGCCAGTCACCAAAGGACTGATATTTCCTAGTGAGATATATTGAGTAAGGGCAGCCATAATGATTTCATTCTATTTGCTGAATTGGGCTTGAGCCTATTAGCTAATCGGCAGTTGGCCATTAGTATGGTCGACAAAGAAACAGTGACAAAAGAAAAAAATACCAGGCAAAGGAAAACAGAGGAGGAGGAGAACATGACCCAAAGCCAGGCAGTGTTCCAAATACAGAAATGACCCCAGCATCTTTTTAATTAACAGGATCTGCTACTGCAGAACCAAAGTCTGGAAAATGCAATCTACCCTGCAGTCAAAAATTATAAAGATCTTCCAATATTTACTGTCATTTACCTGGAAAGGTAAAATTGTTTCTAGTATATAGCTGTAGATATATATATAGATATAGATATATATATATATATAGATATATATATAATTGATTTTTTTACAGAGAGGAAGGGAGAGGGATAGAGAGTTAGAAACATCAATGAGAGAGAAACATCGATCAGCTGCCTCTTGCACCCCCCCACTGGGGATGTGCCCGCAACCAAGGTACATGCCCTTGACTGGAATTGAACCTGGGACCCTTCAGTCCGCAGGCCAATGCTCTATCCACTGAGCCAAACCGGTCAGGGCAAGAATGATATATTTTGATCTTGAAAACAAAAATGATACTTTATAGAAAGAATTATAATAGTTGTCTGATCCCTTAGGAAAAGACCCAGAACCCTTGGGGAAATGTATGCTAAGATGCAGTTTTAATATTATGTAGTTTACTTTTATTTAGCAGGATAGTAGAAATAGTCATTTTGATGCATACATTTATTCTCTTATTGAACTTATTTCCACTAGGAGGGTATTTGGAGGTAGGTTAGGTCATGAGGGTGGACTCCTCCTGAGTAGGATTAGTGGCCTTATAAGAGGAGGTCAGAGAATCTCTTTCTTTCTTTCTTTCTTTCTTTCTTTCTTTCTTTCTTTCTTTCTTCTTTCTTTCTTTCATATATTTTTATTGATTTCAGAGAGGAAGGGAAAGGGAGAAAGAGATAGAAACATCAATGAAAAGAGAGAGCCATCAATAGGATGCGTCCTACACGCTCACTACTGGGAATCAAGCCCACAACCTGGGCATGTGCCCTGACTGGGAATTGAACTGTGACCTCCTGGTTCATAGGCCGACGCTCAACCACTGAGCCATGCTGGCTGGCCTAGCTTTCTTTCTTTCTACCTTGTGAAGATACAACCCAGAGAATGGATTTCACCAGAACCCAGTACTGGCACCCTGACCTCAGATCTCCAGGCTTCCAGAAACGTTAGAAATAAATTTGTGTTGTTTATAAGCCACCTCATTGATGATATTTTGGCATAGCAACCTAAACTAAGACAAGTCAAAAAGAAGTTGCAAAAATAGTTCAGAGAGGTTCCAGGGACCCTTCACCCTAATGGCCACATCTGAATAGTATACTGGCCAAACCAGAAAATTGACAAGATCATCTCTTTTTGAAATACCAAGTATTTGGGGGATATCCTGACATAAATATGACAAGAGGCTCCTTGGACTCTTTATACCCAAATAAAATTATTCTACAAGGTATCTATGTAGTAGCAGGACTGAAGAGCAAGTTTTATTATTATATGTAACCTGACATCAAGTCACAGGCCTGGACAGATGTCAAAATCCAGAAGCCTAGCCCTGGCTGGAGTACTCAGTGGTTAGAGCGTCAGCCCACATTACCCAAGAGTTTCGGGTTCGATTCCTAGTCAAGGGCACCTGCCTCGGTTGCAGGCTCGATCCCCCGTCCCAGTTGGGGTGCAAGGGAGAGGCAACCAATAGATGTGCCTGTCTCACATCTCTCTCTCTCTCTCTCTCTGTTTCTCTCTCTCTCCCCCCTCCCTCCCTCCCTCCCTCCCTCCCTCCCTCCCTCCCTCCCTCCCTCAAAATCAATGGAAAAAAAATAACCTCTGGTGAAGATTAACAACAACAAGAATCCAGAAACCTCACAAAACATTGAATGGGCTTTGATGGACTATGTGTTGGTTTAAATTCTGGGCCATCCTACTTTAAATAAGCTGAATTTAGAGTAACAAATGACATCGATGGACCAAACACGGTTATACTTGGTGGTAATGAGATTGAGAATAAATTTTTCTTTAAAGTACTATTTAAATTCATTATGTACCCTGTGTAGCATTGCTTCAAAGAGCAATCAGCAGCATCTGTAAACAACAATAGAATTAAGACACCAATATTTTAGCTGTAATATAAATGCCTGCCCCCAGGGCCACACATTAGTTCCTCAAGAGCAGTGTATTTTATTTTGGAAACACCTTTATTTAGTACATCAACTCCTTCTCTCTTGAAGTTGCATTAAGCAAAATCCAAGAAAACCAATAATATGGAAATTATTCCCACCACACAGTTTGTTAATAAGCAGGTGGTTTGGGGGCTTGGAAAACATAATAACAGTATATTTGTATAGGCCCGAACTACTGGACAGAGGAAAATAGCAAGGCAAAGAAATCTTGAAGATGAAAACATAAATGTATTTATTTAAGAAAGACTTACTTTTATTTAAGAATTAAATGTATTTATTTAAGAAAGATCACCTGGTGGGCAATCACAGGCCTGGGCACTGGGTACACAATGCTGGATTAAACATTTCTTCACAAATCATTTAAGAAGCATTTGAAGAAGGAATTTGAGTCCTAGCTGTTGTCTGAGATCTTTCATTGACACCTTGGGTAATACCTAGAAGTACCAACATTTAAACTTACAAAAAGGGTGTCATGGCATTGAAGGAAATCCTGGAGATAATAGTGGAGTACTATTGTCCTAAGAGATCCTGAATACATGACATTCTTGATGTCTTAGGGGACAAATAATATGGAAAAGCGTTAGACAAGGCCAGGTGGCTCAATTCCCGGTCAGGGCACACGCCCAGGTTGTAGGCTTGATCGCCAGAGTGGGGCCTACTGCTAATTCTCTCTCATCATTGATGTTTCTCTCTCTCTCTCTCTCTCTCTCTCTCCCTCTTCCTTCCTCTCTGAAATCAATTTTAAAAATATATTTAACAATATACATGGAAAAACGTTTATATAAAAACTCTGGATTGAAAAGTGATTCAGAAGAAAAAGACTAAAAATGTGAATTTTATTACATATTATAGTTACACACATAACATATGTATAACATATATACACAATAATATAAAGTATACACGTTATGTATAGGTTAACAAATATATTTTCCTTTTACCTATATGCAGCCCAGGTTGTGGTGGTGTGAGCAGGGACTGAGAGTCCATTCAGGGCAGGATGCTTCGGAGCACGCAGGCTACACGGGGGCTTTGGTTTCCATGTCGAGAAGGTCATGATTGCCAGGCCGAGGCCGTAACGTCACAGAGGGACTGCGTTCTGGGCCCGTGGCGGGGGCAGGCTCTATGGGAGGTCCTCCAAGCGTATACACCTACAGGTTGACTCCAGGAAAGGCAAGAGGGCCTCTTCCTCCTCGGTGTTCCTCCTGCGCCCTCTACAGAGAAAGCCTGGTTGACATCATGCTCAACTCGACAGAATGCTTACAGGAATTCTGTTGTTGAACACAGAGCATGTATTGAAGGGTGTATTTGGAGCTGAGAAGTGGTAAGTTGATAACCAACACCGTTTTTTCAAAGAGTACAGCTTTGTCCAACTCATCAGGTACTATTGGGGGCGGGGGTGGGAGGGAAAGACAGAAGTGGACTGATCTCATTCACCCAAACTCAGAGTTGGGTTAAGGGTTTCCTGAAAGGGTTGAGCCTTGCCTAGGAGGTCTCTCCTAGAGTGTGTTCTTTGTCCTCGTATGAAATGGAAAAACCTGTCAATAAGTTCCTCTTTGGAGCTCAACCCTTGTGTGTCTTCATTACCAACTTGCACGGGACTTTTGCATTCTCTGGACATCATCATTTTTAGCTTTGTAAAGCCATTCTTGACAGCATTAAAGAAAATGGTTCCATCATCTTAAAAAAACAAAAACAAAACATGACTGGAGAGGAAAGGAGGCCTAGCTACCCAAGCTGTTTCGCCTTCTGCTTTGGTCACGAAGATTGAAGAAATGAGTCTGAGCCTCCCAGTCCTGCCTCTTCCCTTTATGAGTGACAGCCACACGGGGTGTTAGACTCCCAAGCAGACCGTCTACCTGTCCTCCCCTTCCTCCTTCCCTTCCTCCTTTTTCTTTTCCTTCTTCTCCTCCACCTCCTCTTCTTCTCTTCTTTTTAAAGTAAGTAGTGACCAAGAGCCAGGCACAGTGACAAAATGAGGTGGTAAGTACTGTTACTATCCCCTATTTGATGCTATCTGTGTCCTACATCCCCGTGGGTTTCATTACTCCTTCCCTGCACACAAGCTCCCTAGCCAGCACCGGAGTCTCTTTGGTTACCTTGTCCCAGAAAGTCCCTCAGGCTACTGGGAGCCTCTGTAAATGCCTGGTGTCCTTAGCCCTTTGGAAGTGAGCCAGAATGGCCCGGGGATTTGGCTCCATATTGCTCTTCCCTTCCCTGTCTCACCATCTGACTCCCCCACGGGTTTCTCCTGGGAACACTTCCGGATACATACTTTCACCTGAATCCTGGCCTCAGGGTCTATTTCTGGGAAAGTCAATATAAGACGTTTCTGTTTAGCAATCAGGGAAACTGAAAAGTCCATTGCTCAAGCTTAAAAAAATAAAAAAGTGAGTGACACTGAAATTTAAACCTGACTTCTGATTCTCAAATCTGCAAACTTGCCTATTATACCCAATACTGCTTTGTGAAACAAGGCCATCAGTTAGCATCTAGGTCTCTCCAGAGAAGGACAGCTCTGGACAAAACACTGCTAGGAAGGGCCAGCCACCCCAACTCAGTTGCCTTTTATCCACCACCCTAGGGTTTTTTTTTAAGTTAGTTCTTTGAGGGCAGCCTGTGCTATATTCGACTTTACTCCCCTCCCCATAGTACCCAGCAACTTTCCAATATCCAAGCTTTGGGAACCAATACCTGGCTATGATGAACTTTTCACTATGCCATAGTGGCAAGGGAAAAAAAAGTCAATGTGGTAAATTTTTCATAAAACCAAATGTGTTCAATATAAAGGATTCTTCTTCACTCTGAGATAATGTCCTTCCTCCATTTTTAATGTTTAAATGTCTTTTCTTATGTAAGATTGTAGTAAGAGTAGAGAGCAGTTGACATATTTTTAAATGGTCTAATCCAGTGATGGCGAACCTATGACATGCGTGTCAGAGGTGACACGCGAACTCATTTTTTTGGTTGATTTTTCTCTGTTAAATGGCATTTAAATATATAAAATAAATATCAAAATATAAGTCTTTGTTTTACTATGGCTGCAAATATCAAAAAATTTCTATATGTGACACGGCACCAGAGTTAAGTTAGGGTTTTTCAAAATGCTGACACGCCGAGCTCAAAAGGTTCGCCATCACTGGTCTAATCTGACAAAATTAAATTTGGCAATTCTGTTGTTATAGTGTTGTGTGTGTGTGTGTGTGTGTGTGTGTGTGTTTTAAGACGAGGGGCTGCGGGAAGATGGGCAATTTTATTCATCTTGAAATTCAGTAATCTAGAATTAGTGTCCCAGGGAATGTACTAGGCCCCATGGATGTCAGGTGACATTCTTATTTGAGCAGAATCCTTCCTTAATCATGACCACTAGTGTTAATCAGGATTCTTTTGATGGCAAGTGACAGAAATCCAATGATCTTAGACAAAAGGGGGATTTGCAAGGCTCTCATTACCTCAAGAAGGTCATCACAGACAATGGAACTATGCACTGGAAAGCCACTGTGACTCTCTCCATCTGCCCATGCATACCCATTAGGTATTGCTGCATGATAAACCAACCTAAAGCTTAGTAGCTTAAAGCAACTACAGCCATTTATTATGCTCATGAATCTGCAACTTTGACGAGGTTTAGCAGAGAATGGAAGGCTCCTCTCTGCTCCATGTGGTGTTAGCTGGAGTCCTCAACGAGGGGCTGGAGGATCTGCTTCTAGGGTGGCTCCATCAAGCTGGCAAGTGGTGCTGTAAGCTGGGAGATCAGCTGGGCTGAGGGCTCGATTCCAAGGACAAGCATATGAGAGAGAGCCAGGAGGAAGCTGTCTTTCCTCCTATGAGCTAGCCTCAGACGTCAGATAGTATAACATTCTGTCCTTCCCTCTCAGTGAAGGCAGTCACAAAGGCTCGCCCAGTTTAAGGAATGGGGACAGTCATAAACTCCACCTCTTGATGGGGAGTGGCCAGGTTCTGGAAAAGCATGTGGGATGAGAAATAATACTGTGGCCATTTTTTCAGAAACACAGAATGTCATACCATGTATTGTCTTCATTCCCTTGGTGTGTTTCTGCTAGGCATGGATGAGATGGCCAACCAGGACTCTCAGGCTCCCACCTTCCGCTCCATCATCTGAGAGGGATGCCCTTCGTGCCTTTGGCCCAGTTTGGGGTGGATCTTTGTACCAATTACAGTGGTAACAGATTGAATAATGTGATTGGCTTATTTGGGGCCAGGGGCCTACCACTCTACCAATCACTGGCCTAGGGGGTGAGATCTGAAGGAAGATGGCATCCAGAAGAAGGGAGGGATGCCATGCTGAGCTGACAGACCAATAGCCATGCACCACAGGCACCAAGTCCTGACTTGAAGGCATGCTGTCTTAGAGGACTTGCTCATAAAAACTGTTCTTCCCTCCTCCACCAAGTGACAAGGAAGGCAGCCAGGGCCTGATAAACGGGCTCCCTGGCTGCAACCCCAAGAGAGGACTTGTATTACTTTATAGGCTCAATTCTGACAATTTAATGCCGGTTTGGGTGGATGTTGTGGAGATTTATGTTTAAAGAAACAAACCCAGCAGGCTTAGCAATAAATGTGATTCATTTCTTTCCGGAAGTCTCTGCTCTGAGAAGGTGTGAAGTTTCAAGTTATATGATCCTTGATGGCTGCAAGCTACCCACAGATGTTTCTCAGAACAACTTGTTTGGTTGAACATTTCAGCTTTTGAAAGCCAGCGTTGGTCTCAAAGACAAGAAGCTACTTGAGAACATCGAATAAAAACCAGATTTGGGGGCCAGATAGTCAAGACCTTCCATAATCTGGCTCCAGCTAAAAATTACAGCATCCATTTCCACCAGCAATTTAAACTTCAATGGGTAGAATTTAAAATAATGTTTTAAATACTTTTCTCTTTCTTTCTTTCTTTCTTTCTTTCTTTCTTTCTTTCTTTCTTTCTTTCTTTCTTTTTTTCTTTCTTTCTTTTTCTCTTTCTTTCTTTCCCTTCCTTCCTTCCTTCCTTCCTTCCTTCCTTCCTTCCTTCCTTCCTTCCTTCCTTCCTTCCTTCCTTCCTTTCTTCCTTTTTTTTCTTATTAATTTTTACAGAGAGAGGAAGGGAGAGGGAGAAACATTGATGTGACAGTGAAACATCCATTGGCTGCCTCCTGCACGCCCCCTACTGGGGATTGAACCCAGGCATGTGCTCTGACTGGGAATTGAACCAGCAACCTTTCAGTGCACAGGACCACACCCAACCAACGGAGCCACACAGATCAGGGTTTAAATACTTTCCAAAACGTTTCTTTTTCACCTTTGGTAGTTTCCTCGGTGGGCTATGGATCATTTTTGTTTACTTCATACTTTTCTGTGTTTGAGGAAACCTAATAAACATTACGTGGGGGGAAATAAAATTCTTTCCTCGGTAGAGGGAGCCTCTCAAACCTGTCTAGCGCTGCCGGAACTCTTCAGTGGGAGAGGATGTACTGCCCTGTGTGGCTGTCCGTCTTGCATCGCAGACGGTTCTCACCGTGAGAAGGTCCTTACATGGAGCCTGAACCTGCCTCTCTAACCCAGAAGTGCAGTTCTGGGCTCTGGACCAAGATGCACAGTCCTTCTCCTTCCCGTGACTTCCCTCTGGATATTTTCAGGTCACAATGAGGTTCATCCCACACATTCAGCCCGAGCTTTCTGTGGCCCAGTTAATCATACCCAGAATCCCCCACCTGAGGACATTTTTTTGCATTGATTTTGAGAGAGGGAGAGAGAGAAACATCAATGTGAGAGAGACACACTGATTGGTTGTCTCCTGCATGCACCCTGACCAGGGCCAGGGATTGAACCCACAACCCAGGTACGTGCCCTTGACTGGGAATCCAACCTGCAACCCTTTGGTACGCGGGCCAATGCTCTAACCACTGGAAAACACTGGCCAGAGCAAGATGGACGCTTAATTTTAAATGTTCCTTCTGACAGTGGGGTGCCTGCATTCAGTTCAGTATTTCTTCATTCTCTCATCAACTATGCGTGGAGCACCTATGTGGGCCAGGCACTGGGACCAGAGAGTCAGGCAGACAGATCTATGCCTCGAGGATCTTACAGTGACTCAAAGGAGATAAAGACAGAGTACCACGGGCTACTATTATCTCTCAAGGTCATGACTAGCTTTTTTTCCGATTGTACAGCAAAAACCTGTATTTTCTTACCTGATTTCTGCAGCAAACCTTTTTCACACGAACTGGGACAATGCCATGCACCTTTCATCCTGAATCTGCAGGTTCACGTATTTTGTACTTAAGTACAGCAATAGTTTCCATTTCGTCTTGTCAGTTACAGCTCAGCTTTCTGATCTGTCAAAATCATTTAAATCTTGATCACACCATCTTTTTATTTGACATTTTCCAAGTTTAGGGTCATCTGCAAAATGGATAAGCATGACTTTTAAGGGTTTTGTTTTTAAATTAATGGTTGATTTTACAAAATGTGGACAATAGACAGTACCTGCCCTAGCTGGTTTGGCTCAGTGGCTATAGTGTCAGCCTGTAGACTGAAAGGTTCCGGGTCTGATTCTGGTCAAGGGCACATGCCCAGGTCTCGGGCTTGGTCCCCAGTGGGAAGGGGGGGGGGGGCGTGCAGGAGATGGCCCATCGATGAATCTCTCTCATCATTGGTGTTTCTGTCTCTCCCTCTCCCTTCCTCTCTGAAATCAATAAAAATATATTTAAATAAATAAAATAAACAGTACCCTACGAAATGCCACACCAATTCAAAGACCCTCCAGAAAATCTTGAATGAATGAATGTGTACTTCTCTCTGACATTTTAAAAAAGTCCCTTCATTTGCCATTTTCCAAATCAATTGATCACTTTTTCCAGAGTTATGGCACTTCAGTGTAACTAGACTGATTGTAGCATATCAGACATAATTCATGACATAAATGCGTTACAAAGAACTATAGTAATGTATGTACATCAACCCAAATATCTGTTGCCCAAATTACCACCCCTCCACTAATCCCTGCCTCACCACTTTAGAAAGGAAAATTGGGTCATTTGAATGTAATGTCCAGTTTCTTTCATTGTAAGTGTCAAAAAGAATAACCTTTAAAAAATGTCTAAGGTTGTCCTGGCCAGTTTTCTCAGTGGTTAGAGCATCGGCCCTCGGACCGAAGCATCTCTGGTTCGATTCCCAGTCAGAGGCACGTACCTTGGTTGCAGAGTTGGTCCCTGCCCCAGGAGGCAGCCAATCGATGTGTCTCTGTCTCTCTTTCCCTCCCACTGTCTCTGGGGGGGGAAAAAATCAATTGAAAAAACATCCTTGAGTGAGGATTAACAAAACAAAACAAAAATGAGTGTCCAAGTTCAACCAAGGCATCTGCTAAGCCATTTTGTTGGTTAAAGCCCTGGACTACTCAGGAAAATTCTATTTTTATGCTCATTGTTGAGGGCATCAGGTATCAACAGGAAAGCGATCCTACTGAGAGAGATCAGATAATCCCAGACAATGGGTTGTCCGGACACTGCCACAAAGTTCTGGTTGAGTTTGCAGGGAGCTGGGGGTCTCCTCCCAGCCCTGGAGCAACTTCCGGTACTTTCAGGTGCTTCATAGAGTGGAGATCAGAGGCAGAGCAGGGGCACTGGGCAATCTATCAGCATGTGGGGAGCTAACATTCATTGACAAGAGACAGGGAAATAAAAATGGTTTTTGGAAGGCCATGCCCTGGGGCTGGGGTGTGTGTACCTGGGCTCTCACTGGGTTCTGGAGAGGGAGCTATCATTATTTACCATCCTCTCTAAGCCCAATGACAGTCTACCATGATGACAGTACGACTGTCTAATCCACTGACCTTATTCAGATTTCACTTTCCCTTTTCCTTGCTCAAGGTCTAATCCCATACTGTGTGTTATATTTAGTTGTCATTTTGTAAGTCTCCTTTAATCTAGAATAGGCCCTTTGTCTTTCTCGTCTTTCAGCACCTTGACATTTCTCAAGAGTATAGACCAGTTATTTTGCAGAATGTCCCTCAATTTGGGGTTGTCTGCTGTTTCTTGGTGAATAGGTTCAGATGATGTATTTTTGTATCCAGAGGTACTGCTGTGTCCTCAGCACATCATATCAGGAGGCATGATGCTTATTTGTCCCATTAGTGATGATGTTAACCTTGGTCACTGGGTTAAGTGTTCGCCAGATTTCTCTACTATAAACTTACTGTTTTTTCCCCTTTATAATTATGATAATCTTTTAGGAAAATACTTTGAAACTATGTAAATAGCAAATGGATGTTTAGAGAGTAACGGGGGGTAACACAAAGAAACCAGGATTAATCTGGAAACACTGGGATATACGATTGCCGTAGTTCTGAAAGACTTTTATGACTTCCTGTTATAATGGCCAGGGTGTTCCCAGCCACAGCTCATGGGCCACTTGCGGTGGGTCCTTTTCTGAGCCTCCCACTACTCTGCCAGCATTTCATACCCTGTAGAGATGTCCATTAAAGACTTGTAACACTTAAGAGTACCTCTGATTCCTTGTTGCTCTCAGACTGAGAGCTCCTTGAAGGCAAGGATCTCACCATTTCATCTTTTTCTTGTTAATCCTCACCTGAGGATATTTTTTCATTGATTTTTACAGAGAATAGAAGGGAGGGAGAGAGACAGAGAGAGAGAAACATCGATGTGAGAGAGACATATCGATTGGTTGCCTCCTACATGCGCCCCAACCAGGGCCGGGATGGAGCCTGCAACTGAGGTATGTGCCCTTGACTGGAATCGAACCCAGGACCCTTCAGTCCATGGGCTGATGCTCTATCCACTGAGCCTAACTGGCTGGGGCTCACGATTTCATCTTTATCTCCTAGTACCTTACTTGCAGCTGGTACAGGAGAGGCACTGCCTAAATGTCTGAATTCATACTGTCCTTCTCTGTACCTTGGTTTCCTTAATCTTTAGAAAGAGGGATAATGAACTTGGCCAGGTTGTCCTTATGGATCTATTGTAATGAGATTTTATAAGAGAGAGTGTTTGGTAACTGGGAACATGCCAGAGGACTCTAAGACATTGCTGTGTGGAGCACACCTGAGTCTCCTCTCACTCACGGGAGGGGCAGCCCAAACTCAGGTCTAAAATCAACTTGTCACCCAACCAGAGTGGCTCAGTGGTTGAGCTTCGACATATGAACCAGGAGGTCACGGTTTGATTCCCAGTCAGGGCACATGCCCGGGTTGTAGGGAGCCTGCAGAAGGCAGCCAATTAATGATTCTCTCTCGTCATTGATGTTTCTATCTTTCTCTCTCTCCCTTCCTCTCCAAAATCAATAAAAATATATTAAAAAAAAATAAAATCAACTCGTCTACTTTGTGTTCCTCAGTGTCATTCCTCTGACTGTTTTGTTTGTCTCAGTAGCCGCAGGGCCTTGTACAGAACCAACCAGGGGTGCCCTAGAAGTCTTTTGAAAGAACACCTGCATAAGTGTGAATCCAGCCACTCTCCCTCTTCTTTGTGTTTGATTCTCCCAAAAGAAATCTAAGAACTGGCACTCCATCTGACACAGTATTGTGTAACCATTAAAAAAAAAAAAAGCTCATGAAGAGACCAATAAAAGTAAAGAGATTGAATGAGGAATAAGAGAAACTACCCGCATGCAGATGGCTTCACTGGTCAAGGCTGCCAAACATTTGAAGAACCATGAATACCAATTCTTCACAAACTTTTCCCAAATGTAGACAAGGAGGGAACACTGCCCAATTCATTGCATGATGCCCGTGTTACCCTCATATCAAAACCAAACAGGGACATCATAAGGAAACTACAGACCAATATCTCTTATAAATATAGATGTTTAAATCCTCAGCAAAACACTAGGTGCACACAATCCAGCAAAGTATAAACAGAATGACACACCATGGCCAAGTGGGAGTTATCCCAAAAATGCAAGGTGGCAATCTATGAAAATCAATCAATGCAATGGAAAAAGGAAAACAGCCACATGATTATATCAACAGACAGAGAAAAGGCATTTGGTCAAATCCAACAACCCTTCATGAAAGAGACACACAATAATCTAGGACCAGGAGGGAGGCTCCTAAACCTGATCAAAACAAAACAAAGCCCCAGCTGACATCACACGTATTGGGGCATGACATAGGTTTTCTTCCTAAGATCAGGAACAAGGTAAGAAGGCCTGTTCTCACGCCTTCTCTTCAACCTTCAGCTAATTGACAAGGCAGTTACCCAAGCAGGTGAAATAAAAGGCATTCAGATAGGAAAGAAAGATACAAACTGTAGAGTGGGGCAAAAGTGGGTTTACAGTTGTGCATATGGAAAATGATACAATAATTAATAGAAAATAACACAAGAATGAATTGGGTGTTTCGCGTACTCACAAATGTAAACCTACTTTTGCCCCACACTGTATGTATTTCCAAATGAAATATGTGATCCTTCCTACACACACAAAATCTTGTGGAAGCACAACTCACATCTTGGCTCCATTTAGTGCCATGGTGAGGGGATAGTTAACACTTTTCAGGTGTCTAACTCCAGCCTACTGCCCCCACCCCCAGTGAATGGGCTCCTGAGTGTTGCCTCAGTTGCTGACAACAGCTTTATCCCTGACGTTTGCAATGCTGCTGTCTGAAGCCTGGCCACAGCTTTTGCAGAAATGATAACCCTGTAAGGAAATTGCTGGTTTTGGGCAATGAACATACCAATTATGAGTTCAGTTACCTTGGTGATTTTTCAGCGTTTGGCTTTAATGACCTGCTGTGCTTTTTATTTGATGAGCAGGTCCTTCCAAGTCTTGCATTTCTTGCAAGTAAACTACTTTCCTTTTCTAAATGTTATCTCTGAGTTTTCCAATTCATTGGTAGTTGATGAGATGCAAATTAAAATAGCTATGTTTACCTAGTAAGTGAGCAAGGTTGTATTTTTCAAGCTACTGCTCCATGCCAGCTAGAAGGGCAGCAAGCTGAGCCCACCTACATGACTAGTAGGCCACTTGGTTATATTTATTGACATCTTTAAAAATATGCCTTTTAAATCCTGTAATTTTACTACCTGTAATTCAACCAATGGATATAATTTTAGGTTGCATAGCCTAACATTAAAAAAACAAACACGGAAATGCCATTGACTTAAAAAAATACATTTTCTAAGAATATTTAGTACTGTGGAAAATTCTCTTGATTTAAGGTAAAATGAAAAGAGTGGAATCATACAGGGTGACCAAAATTTTTGCAATAAAACCACGTATGTGGCATTGAACAAAAAGTGAGAGGAAAAAGAAGCATTTTAATTACCACCCTGTCCCTTTCTTTAAGAAAAAAAAAAAGAGAGAAAAGAGGGATCTCTTACCCTTTGAATTATGCTAAGTGAAATAAGCCACACTGAGAAAGACAAATATCACAGGATCTCACTTATTTGTGGAATCTAATGAACAAAATGAATGGACCAACAAAATAAGACCTGAAGCATGGAGGCATGGAACAAACTGACATACCTCCATGTGGGGGGACAAGGAGAGATAAACCAAAGAACTTATATACTTATGTGCATAGCACATGGA